TGAATAAGGTTTTTAATTCACAATAAAGAAGATGAGGGCAAGTAATTAGTTAATCTAAAGTATGTGTAAGCGTATATATTGCTTCAATTTGAATTAATCATTTATTTTTGATGGTCAATGTATATATTCTCAATAGTTAATGGCAGCACACAATTAAAAGTAAGAGATATCTAATATCATAACAATAAAGAATAATGCTATGATTCTGTTATGAGTCCCACATTGGGGGATTTCACAAGTGTTGTGGGATTTATAAGTTCAAAGGGCTCTCCCTCCTAATAGGCTAGTCTTTTGGGATGGGCTCTCTTAGACTTATGCTCATTATATTGGTGCTTTCGTTGAGAGTCGACCAACTGGAAAGGGTTACCTATGGAGGATTTTGATCGGTAAGAAGATCGAGTGAAGTGTTGTAGAGTGAAGCACTAGGGGTGTCGACTCCCAAGGGATTGCTCTGTTATGAGTCTCACATTGGGGAATTTCACAAGTATTATGGGATTTATAAATTCAAGAGGCTTTTCTTCCTAATAGGCTAGTCTTTTGGGACTGGGTTCTCTCCTTGGGTTTATACTTATCACATTGGTGCCAACAGGAAAGGGTTACTTGCAGAGGGCTCTGACAAGTAAGAAGACCAAGTAAAGTGCCATAGATTGGAGCAGCTGAGGACGTTAGCTCTTTAGAGGGGTGCTCTATTATGAGTCACATATTAGGAATCTCACAAGTGTTGTGGTATTTATAAATTCAAGGAGCTCTCTTTTTTAATAGGCTAGTCTTTTGGAATTGAGCTCTTTTCTTGCGCTTATACTCATCACATTGGTGCTTTTATTGAAAGTTGACTTTTATAAATTCAAGGGTCTCTCTCTCATAATAGACTAGTCTCTTAGAATTGAGCTATTTCTTTGGGCTTATACTCATCACATTGGTGCTTTCATTAAGAGTTGACCAACTGAAAAAGGCTACTTGTGGAGGGTTCTGACCGGTAAGAAGATAGAGTGAAGTGCCATAGAGTAAAGCCGCTAGGGATGTCAGCTCTCGAAGGGGGTGCTTTGCTATGAGTTCCACATTGTGAAATCTCACAAATATTATGAGGTTTATAAGTTCAAGGGGCTCTCCCTCCTAATAGGTTAGTTTTTTAGGATTGAGCTCTCCCCTTGAGCTTATGCTCACCGAGAGTCCCATTCCATCCTGCAAAGAAAGCCACCAAACATAGTTTCCACATTATTATCCAACATGCCGTAGATGAGTTTCTGAACAGGGGAATGAATCCAACAAGTTGTACTGAACATGATAAGCCCAAGTACTGGAAGCACTACATATAGCACACATGACAATTCAACTGAACAGAGGCGGGCATGATGAGTTTGAAGATGAGGAACTAACTTATATCGATCCAGTTGAAAATGGGGCATTATCCTCTCTTCCTTAAACCTGGAACAAAGGAATTTGTAATGTATTTGTCGCTGTTCGTAATGTATTTGTCATGATCCTTTTTGAAACTATATATTAGACCCCTACGGTAATGACTAATAAGAACAGATTTACAATAAGAGGTAAAACACTATTCTGGTACATTAAAATATGTTGTTGATTCAAGAATTTGTAATGTGTTTTTGTTGTATTCATAATGTATCTGTTATGGCCCTTATTGTAATAAGAATAGATTTACACTTGAATATGAAAGTAAAAGCTGAAACACATTACAATAAGCGGTAAAACCTACTCTCTAATGCGTTAAAGATTTTTACCACTTTTTATTTGGCACTTACCGATGGTCTATATAGTTTTGTACGGAGAGAAAAAGCATAAATCCACATTATTTGAATCGATCAGTATATCAGATAGGCAAGGAAACAAGTTTAAATTTAATACCTTTTGGTATTTGTTGATTTGATTTCTTTGAGAATGCAAATCCTTTGTAGTTGTAGCCTTCACATCATCTCCTTCATCTTCATCCATGATGGATTTCATTTGTAATTGCTTTGCAAAGACTAGAGAAGAGAATTGATAAATATTCACTTACAATTTTGTGCCCCAACACATCCAAGTTGATGGCATTATATAACTGATGGATAAGATTTAGGGCATAAAAAACAATGGGTTGTTAAAACTGTGTGCGCTTCAGAAATTTGAAGAGATCATATCTAACATAAGCGAAACAGTGAGCTAGAAACAATAAACTATTAAATCCGAGTATTCTAGAAGTTTTATCAGATAAGATTTATTGTAAAAAAAACAATGGATTGTCAAAATTGTGTGCGCCGCTTCAAAAATTTGATAAGAAATTAGATTTAACATAAGAGAAGCAACGAGTTTCAAAACTATGTGCACCATTTCAAAAATTTAATAAAGAGATTAGATTTAATATAAGAAAAATAATGGGCTATTGAAACTTTGTGGACCGCTTTAGAAATTTGAGTGAAACTTGTAATCTAGAGAAAAATTTGTTTATCACCAATTTGCTATCTTTTTTAGGAAAGTGGTGGAAAAATCACCACTTACCACTGCTTTTAGGGGGGAAAAAGCCCCCCGCCAGCAACTAGTCTCGACGCCGAAGCTCTAGTGGGAGACTTTTGGAACCGGTCAATGTTTGCTAGTAGGGTCGTTAAGAGTGTGGAAACTTTGTTTTTTTTTTTTTTTAAAGAAGAGACATTTTACGTCATTTCATTTTGATTTCAAAATGTTAATTTAGGATTTTCTTAATTTCCTTTTTGGTATTACGAATTATTAACTTTCCAAATTGACATTTTACTATTTCACACTTCTTTTTCTGTTATTTTCTCAAAAAATTTTATCCATATTTGTAAAGACACCACCAACACAAGATAACATCAGGGAAGAGATGGAGAAAATCTTACCCCAAGAAAGATATACCTAAAATTAGGATGTTTATTGTACAAGAAGTCAGTTTTCATAACACTGTGAACATGAAAAATTCACATGACTAAGTGTGTGGATATGTTATATGAAAGGAATAGGTTATTTTACAAGAGGTATATTATAAACATTGACGGTTATAAATTTTCATATGTGTATTTTTTATTTATTTATTTTTTCTGTTGTTAAAATTTGTATTTCAACTTGCAAACTTATCCATAAGTACTTGTAAATCTTTTATATTAACAATCTATAATTATGAAAATTGAGAGTTGTAAATTTTATTTGTACAATTTTTATTTAGCTATTTTTTTATTGTTAAAAATATCCATTTCGACCTTGAAATTTATATACAACTACTTGTAAGTTCTCTATGTTTGCGGATTGTTATTACGAAAATTGAGAGTCATCAATTTCCGTACGTACAATTAATATTTAACATTTTTTTATTGTTAAAATGTCCTACCTCTAATCCTAAATATAAAAGTTAGTTGACTAATTTGAGTTAGTTGACTAATTTGAGTAGATTAAGAAAATTAGTTAAATTAGTTATTTATAATAAACAGATGTTGTTTTTTCTAAAATATTTTTGCTAATCAAGTTTATTGATTAGAACTACTATTATTAGAAAGACTATCTTAAAAAAATAGATAAATATAAGAGATATGGTGGATTAAGGTCTAATATTTATGACTAAAATAAAAGTCAAATGAAATCTTATACCGCTTCCAGTCCTAATTATAAGAGCTATTTGACTAATTTGAGAAAATTAAGAAAAAAAGTTAAGTTAGTTATTTGTAATAAATATGTGTTATCTTTTCTAAAATATTATTGCTAATCAAGTGTGTTGGTTAGAACTATTATTGTTAGAAGGATTATCTTGGGAAAAAATATAAATATAAGAGACAAAATAGATTAGGGTCTTATATTTATGACTAAAATAAAAGTCAAACGAGATTTTATATTAATAACTGAAACTAATATTAAGAATCAGAGCTAACGTGTCTCAACTTCCAACCTTATATGTGAGGCTGTGAAAATATTTAGAAACAACACGGTCATTTTCCTTTTAAACTTGGTTTCATTTGGGGACAAGGAGACTGGAATGAAATTTAAGATTGTATTGGGCCAGACAAATAATTAAGTTCAGCTTGTGGTCCTTTTGTGAAATTCTCCATAACAAACAAGCCTACCCCGCGATTCAGATTTCAGTGAAGGCCGAAGAGAGAGGAAAGAATCAGATCGTCCTTTTTAGTACTGCCCATTCACGGCGTAGAAAGCAACACAAGCAGATTGTGTTTAGTTCTTTCTTTCCTTTCCATCGTCGGAAACAGATCGTCGGAAGTTGAGAGTAACCGATCGCCGTTTTGGCGCAACATATCTGCTTCTTCCTTTCATTGTGCTTTGCGGTTTTACTTCTTTTCATTTCAGTAAAAATTTCCTATTCAGTCAATCTTCTGTTTCTTTGGTTCATTTTCATTGGAGCTTTGAGGTTTTTTTGAATTGATATACTCACACATAGTTGTTGGCTCAAATTGGAGCATTGAGTTGTTATCTTTGATTGCATTTCAATCATATTAATTTGATTCTGTGAATCCGTATGTCAAATCTGGAAATTTTTCTACGACCGCTGAACAATTACTTCCTCCAAAGACGGAAAACAGAGTCAACAGAGAAGAAGATTTTTGGACTGTGAAATTTCTCTCTCTGAATTAAGTTAGCGCCAACAGAGAGGAAAAGTTTTTGGAGGGAAATAACTTCGGTCATGCTGAAGGTTTATTTTCTGATTCCCCCCCAGATTTAACGTAGCTTTTCACTTGCTGAAAGTTACTGATGTGGCAACAAATTCAGTGGTAATTCTAAAGCTCGATGAGACCCAATTTTGAACAACCAAAAAACTGGAAAGCGAGAGCTAATACTGTTTCTCTGGCAAGCAGAATCTTCCGTTCGATCTGTCGATTTAGCTTCTGACGCTGTAAGCTTTTTGTTACAAATATCCTTTTGATGATTCGATCAATCCAGGATCCAAAGGGACTCGTGGATTCAGGGAGTCTTGATTTCAGAGTCGTCATTCCTGGCTTTCTAATTCGGAGTTTTGTGGTCTCATATTTGATCATATTTGATATCTTCAGCTTTAACATTTGAAGCTTGTATTCTAAATTATCTTTTTCGTACGTTCTGAAAATTGAGGAAAATTGCATCCATAAAGCTAGCAAGATACTGTTTTTATCAAGGAAAATGAATAGGAGGCTGGTCTTGAAGCATTCAGTTGCTCTTGTGGGCATGCTGGTATGTGTTAGTTGCTTTTTGATTGTGATTGTTACTGTTCTGAAGCTTCCAGAGGCGTCGCCCAGAAATAGGGAAATGGGGATTTACCATCCAACACTCAAATCCAGAAAAGTGCCTCAGAATTTCAAATTAGGTGAATTTGGAGAAATGATGGTTGAAATGTTGCCTCAAGATCTTGCCTTCACTATGTTTATTCCTTCAGAGGAAGCTTTCAAGCGTGATTTGCATTTATCTGTAAATGACAGCTTGACACCAGAGAAATTTAACGATACCTATGCAATTCTCACTCGTATATTGGGATTCTCAGCTGTCCCGCGGGAGCTATCTTCAGTTGAGCTACCTCTTGGTGAGCTGGTGTCCTATGATTCTTTATCTGGGTTCCAATTATACATTGCAAAAGACATAGATAGAATGCTATCTGTGAACAGGATTCGATCAAAAATCACAGATATTAGAAAAGGGAAGATTGTTATGCATATTATGGATGGCGTTATTATGGATTCTGATTTTGGGCAATCTTTTCTATCTGATGATACTGAGGAGTGAAGACGATTGACTGTTTGCTGTTTTGTATCTATACTTCAAACTGAGCCTAACATAAATAAGGTCAGAGTTCAATTAGAGGGTTGAATATACAGACACTCAGACCTGATAGAGATTCATACAGAATTTTCTTTTTCGTTATCTTCCTTACAGGAAAGGTATAAAGGTTGTATTGTATCATAACTCAGGCTAGCTTATACGTGTAACAATGTTTGAGGAATTAGTCGACTTGGATGGTTCAATTTGTAACTTAAGCTGATTTGGCAACAATAATTCTTAATTTGGCTTGTGCTAATAATCTGTTTCTGGCATCTGCACCTTCAGAATTAGAACAACCTGATTCAAATACAGTACTCATTACTTCCGCATCTGAATTTTGTGTGTTCCAGAGCACACCGCTTTTTAAGATTATGCTGGGAACATGTTGCTTTTGTAAATTTTTACAACCGTGTACTTTAGAAGTCCGATTAAAAAATTAGGTTTTGTGCTTTGTTACTCGGGGAATTGGATTCTCTCCACTATCATTCCCATCCTCTTTCCCTCCACCACTCTCCTTTTCTCTTTACAATTATTGGATCAAAACTCCAATGGTCCAGATTTAATATTTTATAACATTTTATAAAAATAAATATTATGATAAAAAATAGATAAATAAATTTAAACTGTTAAAATATAGTCTGAACAGTTCACAATTACAGATTGTTATTATAGAGCAATTTTTTAAAATTTTTTTTTATTACAATTGTAAACTGTTCAGACCAATTTTTAACAGTTTAAATTTATTTATTTATTTTTTTAATAACATTATTTTTATAAGATGTTAAATCTGGACCATTAGAATTTTGATCCAATGGTTGTGAAGAGAAAAGAAAGATGGTGGAGGGGAAGAGGATGAGAAGGTAGTGGAGAGAATCCAAGTCTGTTATTCGGAGCCATGTGGTAATTAATGACAGTGTTGGATACGAGAACACAGATGTCGGAGAGATCAACTATAATGAGTGGGACAAGCTAGCTTATAAAAGTGACCGGGCGTTTGGAGCTTAACCCATTATCAAAAGAGTGAAAAAAAAGGACACAAAGCAAAACAAAAAGAGCCCAGATAGCAAAAGCATGCGCCTGAAAAAAAAGAAAGGAAGTGGCTTGACCTCTGTTTTTGAGACCCAAAACACAAACTGGATCCTAATGGGTCAAAGGATACCCAGTAAATCCATGGTGTTAAAAATCGGATAAGATCGTTCGAGTTAAGTCAGAAATTGATGACCGGATCACTTGTCTGGTCTGGTTAGGCCTCTAACTTGGGATAGCCCCGTCGTAACCTGGGTAACCCAATCGTAACCCGGGAGACCCGCTGGGTTGGGCGAGTTGCTGAATCACTCCTTAAAAAAAATTGTTTAGAGAATGCAGAGGCTCAAATCCTCTGAGAAAGAAGAAGCAAGTTTATTGTCGATTAGGAAAAAGAAGAATTAGGGAAGAAGTTTTCAATGTAGATATCATAGAAAAGAGAAGAGAATGATTCTTGAGGAGTAAGAGCTTTTGTTGCTTGAGAGTACCGTGTGATGAGAAGAACACCATGTGTGTGAGGAAGAGCGCAATCAAAAAAACAAATGAAGCACTTCTAGACCACTGGAAAAGACACATTGCTCAAAGAGTGTGAGAGGCAGAGACCAAGATAGAAGAAAACAAAAGGAGCAGCGGAGCACCTTGTAGAGTCAAATTGAAAAGAAAAACAGAGAGAAAAAAAAAAAGGAAAAGGTCGGTCATAATCATAGTCTCAAAGTTGTTCTCTGACATGCATAGCATGTTGTAGTGATTTTTCCTCCTTTATTTTTCAAAGCTCGCCCATCCTCCTAGATTAATCAATGCATCAGTGTCTACGAATTATTTTTAATTATATAAGAAGGGGCAAATGGAAACTCATACGATTCTTTTATTTTTACTAAATTATATATCGTATGATAATTTGAAAATATGTTTTATAATTAAATATAAATATTTTGTGTACATTTTATGTAAATTATATATTTTTAATTATTACCGGTCTAATTTTGAGTCAACTCTAATCTAACTCACTAACTCTTGACCTATTAACTTGACCGATTCAATAACTAGTCTGGTTTTCAATACCTTAAGTAAATCACAAACTTTTTTTTATTAAAGCATAGGTATTATTCGTAGTACTGTCGTGCACTAAATATGAGCACCTCTTCCAGTGAGGATTCCAACCTTAAGTAAATCACAAACTAATAGAAGAGAATGAAACTTAAAATACGACGCCGATGAATCGCACCCAAATCGCTACTCTTGGGACGCATAAAATCCCAATTTTCTAATTATTAGTATATGTTGTCTTCCAAAATCTGAGCTTATAACTCCATTTACGGCTTGTTGATTTTAGATTTTTCTATCCCATGTTTGCTCTAAATTCATACTTAACATAATCTTAAATTAAATATTTGAAAACTCAAAAGCATGATTCATAATTACAGTCCTTCAGTCCCTCATAATACTCTTCTGTTCTGATGGATTCCCAATCAGAGGCTTAGGAAACAATTAGTAATTAAAATCTACATGTAGTTCAGTATATACGTACATATACATTCACACAAATATTCAAGGTAATTAATCATTACTATTTTTTTGGCACAAAAAAGTTCAGGTGAGTTGGATCTCAGAAATTTACCAAGATCAAGACATGCCTTCTAACTCAGAAAACGCTTATAGAAATATCTTGCCCATCAACAAGATTCTCACATCATAACGGGTTCCGATCTCACAATCTTGTAGTTATTAGCCGACTTGTTACTAAGTGAACCAACTCTTGTTGACAATTAATCACCATCATTGTTACAATATGTTTTATTGTCAAAAGGACTCTTCGGAAGCCCAATCTTCTCCCACGTACGCTTTAGTCGATCACAGTAACAGCAGAATACTCTCAAACATTGATTTGATGCACGCAGCTTCATCTGTCCACAACAACAGCAAACCTTATTCCATTATAAAAAGATCTTGAGGTTTAGCATTAACAAACCATGGCTTGCCTTCTGCAATAAAAATTCCAACAAGGGTTAAATTCACATTTTAAACTCAATTATTTCACATATTTCAGCTTCTCCAATAAAAGCATCACCAACCTTTCCACATACATACGTGATTAGATCTTCTCTTAATCATATATGAATTTATAATATCAGTGCCATATATATATGAGGGAGATGTTTGTGTGAGTGTGTGTTGTCTGTTCAAACTAACCATAAGAGGCTAACCAATTTCGATGGACCGTGAAAGGATTAAAAGTTTTATAGTCCCATTGAAGCTATTCTACATATAAAGAGTTAAAATACAGCACCAATCAATCATTTGCGTTGGCTAGATATGATTTTGATATCAAAAGGTAAAAAGAATTAGACATAGATAGATGATTATATATATGTGAGGGAAAATTGGTTATTAACGATAATAAGGGTACACAAACTCAACCTTCGATATTCTATTGATCTTATTTCTGTAAAGAGCAAGTCTTGTGAAATCCGGTGGCATCATTATTTTCTTCTTCATCACCCTTAGATTTCATAAGCAATTTCTTAATGAAACCCCAAGCCATTACACTAATGATCAATTTGAAAGTTTGTGTCAAAACACATACAAATACATAAGCTAAAGGCTTGTTATAGATGCAAATAAGATTTTAAGATGGAGAAAACAGTGAGCTGCCTATGTGCTGAAAGTTTCATCAGATTTTAAGCTTTTGATTGGGGGAAAAACAATGCCTTCCATAAGATTTCAGGATCTTGATTAAAAACAATGGGCTATTAAAACTATGTATTTTTTCAATATCATCAAATGACTCAAATCCCTTACAATAAAATGGCTTGGATTCAAATATCATCGACTGCATGAGTGGACAAAATGAATAATTTTAATAATCTTAAAAAATATGATTTGAACATCAAATAATATATCAAATAGCTGTTTTTTTAGGTCTTTTGAATGGTTGAGATTAAACAATCAAAGTAATATTACCTTTGGTCTTATTTATAAGACTTCATTTACTGATTATAGACAAGGTCTTATAATTAAGATTGGAGGTAGTATAATTTTAAAAGTAATACTAGCGTGCTTCTTATGCTACATAAACGTTTCCTTCACATGAAAAGTGTTTCTATTTTCTGATTCTGGAAACTAATTTTATGGTCTTTTGACTTTTTTTTTACCCCGATAACATAACGTATCTAATTTTGATGTAATGAGCCATCTCAAAAGAGTTTGCTTTCAAAGTTTCATCAAGTCACTTAAGATCTTTTTGATGAATGACTAGGATTCACAAAGTCGTCAATTACATGAGTTGAGTAGACGAAATATACCATTTTAATCATTTTGAAAAGCATAATTTAAATCTCTAAATGATGATATATAGTTGTTTTTCAGATATTATATATGAACGGTTGAAAGCAATACTATTGAGCTCCTTACACTAGATATTAAAAAAAAAAAACTAAAATGGACATGAATATATGATTAATTTAATTATCATTATAGATTTCCCCTATGAAAAATATTTCCCCTTTGTAGCCATGAAAACCAATTGTGCATGATCTCTTCTTATTGATAACTCAACTACCGAACTTGGATCTTTGGAATGCGTTACATAGGTGGGTTTTGACATTAAAAGTTTCATCAAATCACTCAGTTTGCTTTTGATGAACGGCTAAAATTCGCACAGCAATCAATTACATGACTAGATGAAAGGTACTATTTAAATGATATTGAGGGTTATTAATTATAACCCAGATCAGTTGGGTCCATAATCCACAAAATGAAAAGAAACAAGCCTTAATCAACCTCATCACCAGAAGCTTAAGTTCTTTTCAAATCCAAGCTAGATATAATATTACATCAACCAGAACAAATGCCTTCATGTGTGAAATTTCCCCTTGTTTAGGAATCTTTTCAATCATTTTCACTGACAAAAAAAAAAAAAAACTTGTAAACTAGGAGCCTGTTTAGCTAATACAATAGCATAATTATCAAACTCTCTGCAAAAGAAACAAGTGAAAATGAATATTTCAGTTTCTTGTAATCAAGTGAATAGCTTGTACACAATCAGATAATACAATCAATTGACGTGTCTTCGATAGCTGCTGGTGAATCATCTACCTTCTGACATAGCACAAGCCACTGGACTTTGAGGTTAATCAATAATGGTCGATCTTGTCAAGCTTTGAAGAAATTGTAGAAGCAATAGCATTCATTGCTGGCCTACTTTTCAAACATTTTTGTTCATCCATAACATCA